TTTAGAATTAAGACCTGCATAGCTGGACAAGGGAGGAAGGTTAGATCATATACCAGGAAGTCTCAAAACTGAGAATTTATAGAATCCCTGAATTCCTAAGCTTAAAAAGATGTTAATCACACAGTCTGAGTATATTAGTAATGAAGTGAGATTTCCTAAAGGCTTGATGTTAAAGACGCTCTGCCCAGCACATAGCTTTGATGGGAACGTAACGTACAGAGTATCTTCTCAAGGTAGATCAAAGAATCACAGAATCATAAGAATAGTTTGGGTTGGAAGGGACCTTTAAAGGTCATCTACTCCAACCCCCCTACAGTGAGCAGGGTCACCTTCAACTAGATCAGGTTGCTCGGAGTCTTGTTTAGTCTGACCTTGAATGTTTCCAGGGATAGGGCTTCCACCACCTCTCTGGGCAACCTGTGCCAGTGTCTCACCACCCTCATTGTAAAAAATTTCTTCCTTATATCTAATCTGAATCTACCCTCCTTTAGTTTAAAACCATTACCCCTTGTCCTAGCACTAGAGGCCCTACTAAAAAGTCTGTCCCCATCTTTCTTATCAGCCATAATTACTGAAAGGCTGCAATAAGGTCTCCCCAGAGCCTTCTCTTCTCCAGGCTGAACAACCCCAACACTCTCAACCTTTCTTTATAGGAGAGGCGTTCCATCCCTCTTATCATTTTTGCGGCCCTCCTCTGGACCCGCTCCAACAGATCCATGTCTTTCTTGTGCTGAGGATGCCAGAGCTGGACACAGTCTCCACGTGGGTTGTCACCAGAGCAGAGGGGCAGAATCACCTCTGTCAACCTGCTGGACACGCTTCTTTTGATTCTTTAGATCTTTCACCTGAACAGATGGCATCAAGGTATTAGGTCCAGAATAGCTTTTAAAATATTTTTTCCAATATTGAATGAATCAGAGGATCTTTTGGGTTTATGCACAGGGACAGTGATTATGCTGATTGTGCAATTTGAACAGACAGAACAAATGAACCTGACACCCTCACTTAGAAAAGCTCTTCCAGAAATCACTGCACATTAGAAATGATCAGCACATCCATGGTCTTCCAGTGAGTGCCTTGGCATGCACTCTTGCTCTACCTAGTGGATTTGGAACTTATTGAAGTTCCATTTTCTAAACTTGGAATAGCATTATTCTAATTCTGTCTTCATATCATTCTCATTATTATTTTTGGTTATGGTTTTGATTAAGATAATTGTTATTGTTGTGAACAAGAATACCATGTACTTTTTCTGGCTTTCAATATTTGGAAAAAAGAATTAACTCCTCAAATGCCGTGTTTCCCTGAAGAAAAAATATTTTGCATATATAAACGACATTGTTTCCTACCCCAATTTATGGACAAAAGTTTGTATCTTTGAAAAGGACACCAGAAGCCAGGACCAAAGTGTATTTATTTATGACTCACTTTCTGCCTACGAGTTAACTCTCTGTGATCAAGTGTTTCACTGCAACATAGATGACTCCTGAGAAAGTGACCTGGGAGGTCTATTCCACCCTCCAACTTCATAAGCCCCGGTGAACCACAATCTCTAGTTTTGGCCTCCTAATTCAGCTTGAAATTTCAAAAGCACGGCCATATGTTATCACTCACCTTTAACATTACAATTTACTTTTTAGAGCACTCACCAGGAAACAGGGGGCATGGGTTCAATGCTGTACATCCTTCCTTAGATGAGGAAATTCATGCTTTCTAAGAGACTGCTGCAATAACAAAGAGAGGCACCTTCCACCCCCCCTCTTAAAACTGGACCATTACACAAGAAGAAATGCAAGAGTCTGAAGTCAAAGGGCAAGAGAATTCTTGATTCTGTGGCCTAATGCATGGTTTCCCAAATGTCATTTGTTGGGTACCTTTGGTGGTTTCACCCACAGGTAGGACCATGTGGTCCTGCACTCACACCCAACACCCGGTGAGATGGGAAGAGAATCACAACAAGGGGGCATGGATTAGAATGAGGACAGGGATGGCTCACTCACCAGTAATGGTCACAGGCAAAACAGACTCAACTTGGGAAAGAAAAAACAATTTAATTCGCTACCAATCATCTGAGTAGCACAGTGAGACATAACAACCACTTCTAAAGACACCTTCCCTCCCACCCCTCCCTTCTTCCTGGGTTGAAGTCACTTTGCTCCCAATTTCTCTACCTTCTCCCTCCCAGTGGCACAGGGGACAGGGAATGAGAGGTTGCAGTCAGTTCACCTCT